CTGCCAGGCTTGGGGGGGGGGGTGGTGTAGGGAGGGGGCAGCGAGGCTCCAGGAAGCAGGTGTCCTCAGCTCTGCCCGGGAAGCTGTGTCACCACAGGCAACAGGGCAGCCTTGTCTAAGCCAGCTGTGCCCAGGTCCGCCCCACATGGCCCAGGTACCTGCCCTTCACCGCCAGCAGCAGCGGGCTCAGTCCATCCTCATCCCGGGCGCTCACACCCACCCCTCTCTGCAGCAGCATGGTGACCACCTCGGGGTGGCCTCCCCGGGCAGCCGCGTGCAGAGGGGTCTGACCGTTAAAGTTCTCTTGGCTCAGGTCACTGCCCTGGGTGAGGCAAGGGCACGTCACCCACTGAGGGGGCGCTGGGCAGGGGCGGGGAGGGGACGGGAGGGTCGGGGTGCACCCCGGGAGTGGGGCCCGGCACGGCCACCGGCACGCCCTGTAGCGGCAGTAAGGTCCCACCGGCTGGCTGCCCAGCGCGGCAGAACAGGGCCCCAGGGAAAGGCGGCCCTGCGTCCCCCGGGGCCCGGCGTGGTGGGGCTGGTCCCTGAGGCGGTGGGGGGCCTCACCAGCTCCACAAGTGCCTGCAGCACGTCCAGGTCGCCCGCATGGGCCGCAGCACAGGCCAGGCCAGGCGTCAGAGCTTCCCGCACTGCATCGGCCTCCTGGGTAGAGGACAGAGGCACCCTGGGACCTCGCCTCTCCCTGGAAAGGAAGGCCCTACTCCACACGTGGGCAGAGCTCCTTCAGGCTGCCTGCCCCCAGCACCGGGAATGCTGTGGGGCATCTAGGGGCTCCCCAGGATGCCAGAGGGCCGGGAAGCCCAGCAGAGACCCCGCAGGCAGCCTCACACCCAGCCCAGCACCCTCGGCAGGGCCCGACCACAAAGCGACCGTATCTCTCGAGCTATTAAGCCCGACACAGCCGCCCTGATGACAGGCCACACACATCCCGGCCTCTGACCACTGCCTGCCCTGGGCAAGTGGCAGTGAGCACGGCCAGAGCTGTCCATCACAGACCCACCCACCCCCACTCTGAGAGGGGAAACTGTCACACGCGTGGTGACCCCGGGTTGCAGTGCTGCTGTCCGTGAGCTCCCATGCCAGGCCTGGACATCTCGGGCAGAGCGGGGTGTGAGGTGGGGCACCAGGAGGCCCCCAGCACCCCTGTGGGTCTGACCCGGCCTGAACCCCAAACTCTAGACCCGGAAGTATGAGCTCAGCTCCCCTGCCCCTTCCAGGTCCAGGCCCCCGGGCTGGGAAGGTGAAGAGGAGCTTCAAGGTGCTGTACCCGACAGGTGCGGCTGTGGGGCCTGGGCCCCGGTGCTCAGAGCCCAGCCAACCCCGCAGCAGGCGCCCCCTCCGTCCAGCACCCAGGACAGCGCGCCTGCCTTGACTCAGGCCTGCCGCTTCTCAGGCAGCCCTGCACCCGGGGCCAGCTCGGGCCGTCAGCAGGCCCAGCCGGTCCAGCCGAGCTTGGCCCCACTGGGTGATGGGGCCAAGTTTTGCCCACCATCCACATGTCACCAAGACTCCGCTAAACCGTCCCGGCCCCTTCCCACGGGCAGCTCCTTGCCTGAATCCTCGCAAATCCTCCCCACTGCGGACCCCAGCCCTCCACCTGGGTCCCAAACCACACCATGCCTGGTGGTTTTCTGCTCATGTGCTGGCATGATGGGGGCCACGGCTAGTGCCTGGCATGTCCAGAGGCGACCCGCACCTCAGGCCCCCATGTCACACCCCCCCCCCACACACACACACACACTGGCCAATACCTGGCTCAGACTGAGGAGCTGGGCGACCCCCCGGCCCAGCGTGCTACAAGTCAGCGAGGGCTGGTGCTCGTCCCCCGCGGGCAGCGTCACCTCCCCCCGGAGGTCCCTGGCCAGCAGCTGGAGGAGGAGAACACAGAGAGCTAGGAATGCCCTGTGGCAGGCAGACCACTGGCCCAGGCATCCCTGGGGCACGCGGCGAGGGCTGTCCTGGGCCTGCAACTCCTCAGTCCAGGCTGTATCCCTTAGGCCTGAGCTCGACCCCTGCCAGGTCCCCATGGGCCGACCCCAGCCTCCATTCCATTAGCTCAGGGTCTCCCAAGGACCCCATCCCCCACCCCCTGCACCGTGGTCACCACCCAGGCTGGCTGTGTCTGAGGTCCCCCTGGGAAGGGTGGGGGACGAGGGGATGTCCTGGGAGCGGTTTGAGGAGCCTTGGCCAGACCGAGGCTCCCCGAGAGAGTGGAAGAACACGTTGTCTGGGCTTGGGGTTGGCAAGGGGTGGAGGGAGCCCAGGCCTCAGAGCTGGTGTTTCCCCGCCACGGGGAGGCCCCGCATCCCTGTCCCCTCCCGACCCAGGCACACAACCCACTGGGCTGGGCCCTTAGCAGCCCTGACACGGGTCCCCATGCCCCCCAGCCCAGGGGCAACTGTGCCCAAAGCCGAGGGTACACCTGTTTTCTGCTGTCCAGGCTCAGCCCCGGCTGGCCCAGCACGTAGGACAGCTTGGCCATGGCAGCTTCCGACGTCATGTCAAAGCCCGAGACGATGCCAGCTCCCGCCACGGCCTGCGGGGAAGGGGGCACGAGCAGGAAGGGGGGTGCCACTCGCCCTGTGCCCTCGGGCCCATCCCCTCCCCCTCCAGCCCTCCATCCCCACCCCCACCATGCCGGCTGCGTAGCCAGAGGTCACGGTGCCCTGAAGGCAGTGTGTGCAGTTGACGATGAGGAGCCCTCGCTCGGTGGCGGCCCGGAACTCCCGCAGCAGGTCCGGCTTGGTGGGCCCGTTCCCGCAGCCGAACGTCTCCATGACGACGCCCCTCAGGGGGGGCTGCAGGAAGGCCCGAACCTGCGGGGCCGGGAAGGGACGGGGACGGCCTTGGCCTCTTGCTCCGGCAACAGGAGCCCACAGGCTTGTCCTGCACCTTCGGCTATGGCAGGGACGTCCGGGCTCTGAGCAGGCCACATGGAGAGCCATGAGGGGCTGCTCCCCACCACGCCCTCCCAAGGAAAGGCCTTGTCCCCCGTAAGTGTTTAAGGCTGCGGGTGGTGTGGCGACAATCCGAACGCCCCCTCCAGCGCGCCCCCAGCCTCGCCAACCCTCTATCCAACCCCTTATACCTGAAACATAGCAGGGGCTGCTCCCAGCAAGCCTGTGCCCTGCAGCTAAACACACATGCAGGGCCCCCAACGAGCCCCCCGCACTTCCTGCTTGGCCGCCAGGCTCCACTCAGAAGACGGCGGGCGGGACCTGGGGTCCACCTCACACATGGACGGTCCCCCTGAAGGCCCGGCTGCAGGAACACAGGTTCCCCAGCTCAGCAGTGCCCCGTGCTGGGCGCTGGTAAGTGTGGCCCAGACGACCATATCCGTGTCTGAATCTGCCATGCAGGTGGGAACACAAGGGCTGAGCCACTGGCCTGGGGACAGCACTTCTGTGCAAGCATCCACCCCTCTGGCTGTGTCCCCCGTCAGAGCCCTGACCCCTCATCAGAAAGGCTGAGTCCAGCTCCCTCTGCTTCTCCAGGTAGAGGTCAGAGGTGACTGCACCCTGTCCCTGGTAGACACCGGGGATGGGGAGGCGACGCCCCGAGACGCACCGCAGGAAGCAGGCCCCGCCCCGAAGGCCCAGCTGCCCCCAGCAAGCAAAGCCCCCGGGGCCCTTTCCCCTGCACAAGCCTCGCCCAGCTTTGTGGGGTGGGGGCAGGGCTGGGGAGCCAGCTCCATGGCCCTTCATTCCCCCAGCTATGGTGAGTTCTAGGAATTTCAGAGGCCCAGCACGATTCTCCCTGAAGGGTCCTGTGTGGCTCAGCCCCATTCAACCTGGCAGCCTCGGACAGTGACACACAGATACTACAGATGTGAGACCCACCCAGGCCCGCACCTGTCCCCTGGTGACAGTCCCTCACGTGGGCCCCCACCCCCCACCCCCCCGCACTCCCCGCCGGTCCAGCCCGACCGCCAGTGTCAGCTCCTGGGACAGCCCTCATTTTCGAGACCAACCGTTGGAGGAGCAGGCTCCAGCCCAGAGAGGCCACGAGGCCCAGCCCCAGGGCCTCGAACTGCCTCCTACTCTGAGGGTCTCTGCCCTTCAGAGGGGCCTGGGGAGAAAGGACCCTCGCGGACCCTCGGGCTACGGGTGACACAGAGCACAGCGGTGGCAGGACGACAGGGGGCACATACACGGGGCCGGGCCCCGCTTCTGGTTGTAGGACAGGGGTCCTGGTGCGCGTGGCCTGCACACCCTGGCTCCCCGCAAGAGCTTCCAGCACCATCTCTGGTCCAGTCTCGGGGAGGCCACCTGAGCTACAAGCCCCCCCCCCATCTTTCCTACCGGATCTTTCACTGCACTGAGTACATGTCCCACGTACTGTGGGACGCTGTCCTAGGCCAGGCCCGGGACCTGCATGGGGGACACATGGTGGGAAGACCACCCCGTCTGTCCCCAGTGCCTTTGAGGGGGTCAGGTACCGGTTCACAGACTGTGAGCGACCCAGAGCCCAGGGCACTAGCCCACCAGGCCACCCTGTGTGCGGGAACGTACCCGCGAAGCCGCATCTGCCCATGGTGCCTGGCTGGTCACAGCACTGAGCCCAGCAGCCACACCCCGGCTCGTGGCCCTGCGATGCCCAGAGGTACCTTCAGCTCAGACACCCTCTATGGGATGGGCCACGTGGCATCTGAGCCCAATTCACAAGGCAGGCCGCAGTCAGGTGCCGTGTCTACCCCAGTGGCAGCTGGTGGCCGAGGGGTCATGAGCAGGGAGCACACGGAGGACGGGGCAGAGCCGCCACAGAAGGAGCAGTCTTAGGGCCACGCCCCCCGTGGCCCTGCAGGAACCCGGGCCACGAGTCCACAGGCATCCACGCGGTCAAGCCCGCATTGCAAATGAGGGAAGACCGGGCCCCGAAGCCCCAGCGGAAGAGGCAAGGGAGGGGTGCAGGTCTCGGGGACACGTGCAGCTTCAGCACGCCAAGGGGCCTGCGTGCCCGGGCCCGCGGCGGGGTGGGGGACGGGAAGGGGCGGGGCAGGACACAGGATGCGGGGGAGTGCGGAGGGCGCGCAGGGCTGGGCGGGTCCCTACCAGGGCAGCGGGGATCCCGGGGTAGAGACGCAGCAGCCCCACGTCACGCTCCACGCTGCTGTGCACCACCAGCCGCTCCTTCCCTCGGACCTTCCGCACCAGCTCCCGGTTGACTGTGAGGGCAGAGGTACACGTGTGGCACCGCTGGGCCACCGGACAGCCGACACCCCCGCACGCACTCGGCCCCAGCAACGCCCACGGTGCGTTCAGCCCCTCAGGCCCTCCGTGTTGCCCGGCCTCGCTCTGGGTGTCTCCAGAGCCCCGGCCCCTCTCGCCGCCACCCTGCCCTGCCCTGCCCCCCCTCCCGAGGCAACTCCTGCCGGTCCTCAGCTCACTCTTAGGTCGGGTGCAGCCCCAGCCTGTGCCGGCTCTGCAGTGGCTCGGAGTCCGGGGCACAAAGGAGGACCCCCCCCCCCCCCCCCCCCCCCGCCCCCGGGAACAGAGGCTGCCTGAGTCTGGCAGGGAAGGTGGAGGAGAGGCGTTCCAGGCAGGGGGAACGGCATGCGCAAAGGCCAGGAAACACAACAGACATGACAGAGCTGACGAACCAGAAACGGTTTGTTGTCCTGGACGCCAGGAGGAGTCGGGCCCGGTCCTCTGACCAGCCAGCCTCACCTGTGCCTCGCTGGGCACCCACCTCGCCCACAGCTCAGCGAGTCAAGGGAGGAAGGAATGAACCAGTGAACGAGTCTTCTGGGCCCCCCACCTTTGGGGACAGAAAGCCTCCATCTGAGGCCCAGCGCCCCAGGCCCTGTGGAAAGTGGGGGGCAGATATTCGGGGTCCGTGCCCCTTTCACCCACCACACAGAGGAGCTGCCCAGAAGGCCCGTCTCCCTGCCGGTCCGAAGTCACTGCTCTGCCAGGACCAAGCTGGCAGATGCCTCCCAAACCCGGGGGGGTAAAGGGAGGGGCTGGGCAGCAGGCCCAGCCTTTGAGCCCTCAGGAGCCCCACACCCGGCACAGGACCCCGTTCTCTCCAGTCCTTGGCACGAGACAGCGCGATCTGGGCGGAGGCGTCGATGCCCACTGGCACGGACTGTGATTACAGCCTCTCTGAGGTAGCAGGCATCACGGAGACCCCCGAGTCCAGCACAGGGAAACCGAGGCCCAGAGTGGGCAAGGGCCACTGAGGCTGCTCATCCAGTCAGGTGCGGGGCCAGGACGAGAATGGCGGGAGGGGTGCACCCAGGACCCTGGCCCAGGGCTCCTCCCTACGCCCCCGCCCGCGTGGGGGTGTAAGCCTGCACGCCTGCTGCTGTTTCCACCAGACCAATTCATGTGTGATAATAAACCAGGGAACATTCCGGACACATGCTGCCCTCTCCCGATGCGTCAAAGGGGGTGTGGGGGGATGGGCAGCAGGAGGGGGCCCACGGCATCAATCAGCAGTGAGAGACGCCCTTTAATTTAGGGCCGAGCGCCCCAGCTGGACGAGCAGATAAGCTGGCGGGGGGGTAGAAGCGCTGCCACCGCCCAGGAGTTATGGCTGCAAAGGGGGCTTTACGGAGACAAAGAGAGCCCACGCCCCCTCCCTGCACGGCTGGACCATGCCCGCAAGAGCCCGCGGGGCCCAAGTCCTTCTTCCCCCAGCGGAGCCGAGGGAGGAGGGCAGGGTGGTATCCACGTAGCATGAGGGGCAGACCCCTGACAGTCCCCCCACACAGGAGGGCCCTGGGCTCTGCTGTCCCCGCAGCTGGTGGCAGGGTCACCATCACATGCCCCTCTTGACCCCCAAGCCCTGCCTGTAATGGCCTCACAGAGGGAAGTAAAAACACAAGGCAAAGTCCAGGCTGGGCTGGGGGGTCGTCCTCCAGCTCCCCAACAGGAGGGGGGGTAGCCCCTGACAGCCCAGGCGTCATCGGCCCCCCCGGCAGTCCTGCCTGCCACATCCTGGGCAGAACCTGGTGTTTCCCAACACCGGCTGCCGGAACGGGCCCGGGGCAGGTGGGGGCAGAGGCTCTCACGCTCTGCACGGGCACCCTGGCCAGCGGGAAACAATCTTGGCGGGGTCATGGGCCTGGGGCGCCGGGGTGGCCTCTGCCCTGCGCCCACCAGGCTTCCAGGCCGGGCCTGCCTCAGCGTGCTCCGTGTCCTGAGGCCTGCCTGGGCCTGGTGCAGCACAGACAGAGCCCTGCCGTCCCGGGTGAAGTCCTCCAGGCCTGCCAGCAGGGTGCGTCCCCGGAAGTCCCCCTCCTGAGCCCCAGATGAAGTGTGACTCAGTCCCCAGCAGGGAGCCGGGCCTGCAGAGCGGGCGGCCCACTCCTGGTGCCCATGCCTTCCTTCCCCAGCTGGCCAGCACGGGGGGCAGGAGGGGCTGAGCACCGCCACCCACCGCGGCCAGGAAGCTGATCTGTCCTCCAACACCAGTATGCGTGCCACCTCCTCCGGGGAGCCCTCCTGACCGCTCAGTGAGCGAGCAGCCCCCCGCCTGGCTCCCGGCGCCCTGGGAGTGCTGCACGTACCTCACATCTGCTCACGTGTTCTGTCTCGTGACCCCTGGAGGGTGCTCGGGGAAGTGGAGGGTGGGCGGGGGGAGAGGGTGCAGGGTAAGACCACCAGAATGGGAGTCAGGGCTTGGCTGAGCCAACACCTCCCTCTGCGGGCCTCTCCACCTCGGTTTCCTCCCCTGTGGCCCCCTGCTGCCCGGGAAGAGAACCCCGGGGGACAGCCAGGTCGTGGCCATCGCCATGCTGGGATCCCCACTCTGTGTGTCCTGTTGGGATCCAGAGGCACTGGCGGCTTCCAGAGTTACGTGACCAGCCTGCCCATCCCAGGAAGGACCCGCTCCCACCATCTGCTCTCCACAGACAGCCCAGCAGCAGCCAGAGCCCCTCCCCACTCCGAGCCTTCATCATCAGCCTTCCCAAAAAGACTTCGGCCCCTACAGCCCCTACCCGGCCTGGGCCCGGTGCTCCTGAGGCCCTGCCTGTGCTGGAACATTCCAGGAAGCCCCTGTCCCTAGGAAGTCAAGGCTCTGGCCACCCAGAGTCCACTTCCTTCCCTGGTCTCGATATGCTCACCCTCCTGCGGGCGTGGAGGCCGCTGCACCAGCAGACCCCAGGGCTCTCCCCATGCCAGCCTCCTGGAACCGCCCCTCAGGCCCCGGTGGAGCCCATGTGGGCGAGGAGGCAGCGCTGCCCTCCCAAGGGCCTGTAGTCAGGCAGTCTAACCAGAAGAGCCACCCGGTCCTGCTGGTGCTGGGTCCCCTGCCTCTCAGGCTTCTAAGCACCAAAGTACCCCCCAGGAGGGCTGGTTCTGCCAGGCCCTACAGCACCCCTGCCACCACCACGGGGTCTCTAGGACAGGACCCCTCGGCTGGTGGGGCGGGGACAGGTGCCCAGGCCCCCCCCCAGCTCAGTCAGGAAGAGACACAGGGCAGGCCCCCAAGCTGTGCCCACTGTGCTGTGCCCACCATGGACCCGGAGTGGGGACTCCTGGGGACACAGCAGGAGGGCAGACATCCTGGGTGGAGACAGGGCAGCCCTGGGGGGTGACTCCCTCTGGGTGAGTGAGGCCAGCTGCCCTTGCTGAGAACAAGGTCAGAGACAGCTCTACGCTCAGGGAGAGACGAGAGTGGGTCAGGGGCTCCCTAGGGGCTGGGCTGCCTGCCAGGCTCAGGAGGCAGAGGACTCCCCTGGAAGTTCCAGGGACGAGGTCACAGCACAGGAACCTCGTCCCGGGGGACCCAGGTGCACGCCAGGGTCACAGACAGACTCCTGGACTCAGGGTCACAGGTCCCCCAAGCCTGCTCCTCCTCTGGTTCAGCCCCTGGCTCCGAGCTGGGGCTCCCCACCGGCGCTCCCCCCTTGGTGGCCCACGCAGGCCCCCCTCTCTGAGCAGCCCCCGACTTTGCAGCCCAGGGCAGCAGGGAGACTCTCTGGGGCCCCAGACACGGTTTCCCGCCCAGCTCCAGGCATGAAACCCGGGGCGGGAGCCCTCACGGGATGGCCCTGCTCGCCGCCCAGCTTACGTATGACGTCAGCGCCCACAACGGCCAGAGGGGGCAGGTTGGGGGAGCAGAAGGCCGCAAACCTGCGCGAGTCCACCTTGGTCACTCGGTTGCCCCGAAACAGCTGATTCTGGAAGAACAGGCAGACCTGTGGGGGAGGCGAGAGGCAGCGGCTCAGCGCTGGGGAGCCCCAGGGCCCTCCGGCCTCCCCCCTGCCATCGGCGGAGCACCCACTGAGGACAGGTTGCAGATGTCGATTGCGGCTGCTGCCCTCCCTACCACCCATCCCGCAGGGCCTGGGGAGAGCCAGGCAGGGAGCTGGCCACCCGAGGGCCCTGCCGCCCCTTACTTCCCACCTGCCCTCTGCCCCCATCCCTGCTTCTCAGGGAGTCCCTGGTGAACTCGGCCCACCCCTCACCACAGTGTCCGCGCTCCGGAGCTCAGGGGCTGGGGGGTCTTGTTCTGCCCCCCGCCCCAGCTGCTCTAGGGCTGTCCTCCTGGGGGAGGGAGGGAGGCACAGCAGTAGGGAGACAATGTGAACCGTGCTTCGGTGAAGCGCCCTCCCCCTGGCACAGGGTCCCCTGCAGTGCTAGGGGGTCTCGTAAGGTCTCCCCATGCTGCTGTGTGGAGAAAGAATGCTGAGCAGGGAAAGCCAGCTCCACAGCTATACTGTGTACAACCTCCTTTTACAGAAACTTACACGTAAACACACATAACGTGAACACGTGTAACACGTAACCCGGAAGAGAACACAGCGCGCTGTTAACAGCAGCGTCTCTGGGAAGTAAGACATGGGTGGCTTTGCTCCCTTCTGCTTTCTTTATTTTCCGGGTTTTTCCACGGTGACGGTGTATGCCACTTGTAAGGCAAAAGACACATCTTCAAACCCTGGCTGACGGCTCACCTGCATGTCCCACCTGAGTGCCAACCACAGCCCCCGCCTGCGCCACGCAGGCCACGCCCCCTGCAGCCCACGCCAGGGAGGGAAGGGTACCTCGGGGATCACGTACTGGCCGGCCATGAGCAGGGCCCCCAGCAGGTTCTCACGGCCATCATTCCATAGGGCGTGGATGGGCACCTGGGGGGAGGCCGGAGATGGGCTGAGACTCACGCAATACCAGAGGGAAGAATGAAGGGGGGGGGACAAAGAAAGGGCAGCTGGACGAGGCGGACAGCAGGCCATGGATCCCCCCACCCACCCACAGGACCCAGGGCACTGACCAGCCTGGCCGGCCAGAACAGACAGGACAGGCGCTGCCTTGGGGAGCTGCAGAACTAAGCAAGAGGCCCAGGGTGCGGCCTGGGTTCCCCACAGTGCCAACTCCCCCGGTGGCCTCAGGAAGGCCCTCGTGCTCTCCGGTCAGCCCGGGACATTACCTGGGCACCAGTTAGGATGACGGTTTTCTGCAGGTTCTCCAGCACGAAGGACAGCACGGAGGCCGCGAAGGCCATGGTGTCAGTGCCGTGGATGACCACGAACCCGTGGTACCGCCCATAGTGTCTCTGTGGGGGTGCAGCAAGCTTAGGCCGGACTCCTCCCAGGGACAGGCCCCCTCCTGGGGACAGGCCTCCTCCCGGGGACAGGCAGCTAGCTGGTCTCCCACCCCCTCAGGGAAAAAAAGGAAACGATCCCAAATGCAGAGGGAGGGAATCAGGGAGGCACAGGTGGGATCCTGGTCACTTTTGGCCCAGAGGACACTCTCTGGGAAGCAAGCCTCTACCTGGAGTCTCACCCCTCCATGCTCTCCCCCACACCCAGGACAGCTTCCTTTCCTGACACCTCTAATTGCATGAGAGACATGGCCTAGGGGGGAGGGGTCTCTGGACATTCTCCTAGGATAAGAAGGTCCCCTCTGGACTTCCGGCCAGCGTCTCCCCCAGGCGATGCCCAGTCAGGGGTCCCAAGAACACTGGCGAGTTGGAGGACCACACCAGACTACTGTGTGTGTCAGCACAGTTCTCCAGGAGGGTCCCTTGCCGCATGACCACTGCCTCCAGGCAGGGGGCTGTGGGGGTGCGTGAGCCTGCGAGCCCATGGTCCTATAGGAGGGCCAGGCAGGGACACAGCAGTGGGCTCAAGGCACAACCGGTGCCGGGAGCTGACAGGTGATCTGGGACGCTGCCTGGAACAGCACCTGGCAGGAAGGCAGGACGCTGGCAGGCAAACCTGGGGAAGGGTCCTTCCAGATACAGGCGTGCTGGCCACCTCTGAGAGGACATCCTCAGGCCACCACCTAGAGGGCAGCCAAGGCCAGCCCTAAGAGGGTGGCTGGCCCGGGCTATGGTTGCAAGGGCACAGTTCTGGGAACCAGAGGGTCCAGTCCCTCCTGAAGGGACCCTGATCCAGCCAGGCTGGCCCTGGAACCGCAGTTGCTGAACCATGTGGCGGGCTGGGGCACCCTCTGCTGGCCACACAGGGCACTGCCACAGGCAGGCCCTGAAGGCCCTTTGAGTCCGCATGTGGCCGGACACTACAGCCAGGACAGCAAAGTGGTCAGGCCCTAACCAGAGGACAGTGCTGGCCACAAGCCAGGGTAGCTGCCCCGGACTATGGCCACAGACACACCCATTGGCAGCCAGTGGCCCCGTTCATGGACGCAAGGACCAGGCCCAGGACCACACAGTGTCCTGCTCACAGTGAAAGGGGGTGCAGCCCAGGGAGCTGCTCTCCCCGCAGGACTAAAGAACGCAAGCGTGTGACTGGGGCCAGACCCCAGCAGCAGGGAAGGGGAGCCTGTGTGATGAGCCTCTGAGGCTTAAGGGAGACGGGTGAGAATTGGGCCCGGAGGAGGTGGGGGTGGGGTGGCAGGGCCCCCCAGGGAGGCAGTCAGGCCACAGGGCCAGGCTTGTGCAGGAGCGGGGGCTGGTGATGAGGAGACTGGGCAGAACGGAGAGGAAAGCTGATGGAGGGGCGCTCTGGCAGCAGGTCCAAGGGGTCACCACGTGATGCTGTAAACCACAAGACCTGCACGGGGTTCTGAGCTTTTTACGGGCTCCAAATCCACTAAAGTCCCAACTCCAGGGTGGGCATGGGTAGGGTGAACAGAGAAGGGTGGGCCAGACATGCAGCCTGCCAACCTTCAGGGAAGCATCGTGCCTCCCAGCCTAGGATACTAACTCAGACAAACCAATTACAGGAACACACTAGGGCTGCTGTCCAGACCATTTCCTCACCAGGAGAGTGGACATGGCCCTCGCTGCCTATCCACTGCCTGCACGTGGGAAAGGGCCTCAAGGCCTTGCAGCTGAGATGTGACCCAAGGATCCAGCACTTTCCTGAAGCTGCCATTCCCAGACGTTCCAGGGTCTCAGACCAGGCAGGTGGACTCCATCCCCACACACCTC